CTCCACCACCAGCTGCAGGTAAGGAGAAATTTTTTTTTTTTGGAGTAAAGACAAGGACGGAGACACAATTATACAATAATCATCATTTAGTTTATTTCTTCTTCTTCTTCTTCTCGATCGTTACACACTTGAAGTCTGGTATCTGTTATAAATTGGGCCGTCCTGCTCAGTTCTAATTTGTTCTTTTGAACTAAATGGATATAAACACAGTACCTGTCATTTAGAGTAGAGCATGCTTAACACTTTGCAATCACACAGCCAGCAGCACAATTTACCCCAATCTGGTCACCCAGCCAGGAGAGTGACTGCAACAGACTTCTCGGGCCTTGTGCAGAACTGCGCCAGGTGACCCGAACGGACAATTGCGCCAAGTGACCGCAAAGTGTTAAAAAAACAGCAAGAAAAACAGTGAAAGAAGAAAAAAACGTAGGGCCTACTAGTAGCACCCTCTAACATCCCTTTCAGATAGGCGTAAAAATCCCTCCAAATATGTGAACTTGGAAGACATTCATCAAAACGAAAACTCTACTCTATTCATGTCATTTAAAAAAAAATGTAAGTACTTACAAGATGTAGGACAGAAACTGAGAAAGACCAGGGTACCATAATTGCAGGTTTAAAGACATGAACGGACAAAAACTCTACAAAGAGTCAATTTTATCCACATTACCAAAAATTTAAGACATCTTTCAAAAAGTGCAAAAAAAACATCATAAGCCTTTACATCTATCAAAACAATAAGAATTAAGACCATATCTAAAACAAAAAATGTGCTGCCATCATGAACTATGAAGCTTTTAAGCCATCTAAAACATTATTCAAAAAGCCAAAATGATAAGGAGGAATTCGAAAAACCCCTGTACATGTACTGGGTTTTGAATATTTTTCCTTGTTGTACATTGTCCCACATTCAATAGGCTTTGTTTAACAGGACATTTCTGTTACCACGAAAGGATATATCATCTCCAGGGTTTTCCCCCCCCCCTCTCTATCCTATGCATTGCAACTTCCATACGCAACAAAATCTGCTAAAACACAAAGAAATTCTTAGGTACCGTGAAGTTCTGAGTTGCCAGGTGTGGTTTGCTTCTTCTCTCTTGTCAAACGACTTATCATCCTCATCTCTCCTGCTTCTCTTCTTTTTTAAAAATTTCTCTAAAAGCTCTGGTAACACTTATCTTAGCCACTTACATTATCTATTTGTCTTACAATTATCTTTAACTCTTTGACGCCTCATCTCGCCGATTGGCGATGTTGACCACCCATTTTGTTTGGATTTTCCCCAAAATATGATGGCAAAGTGTTAAACCCCTACATAAAACTCAGAGGGTATTACAGTATACAGTATATCATCTGTATCAACTGACCTCCGACCCTGAGTTTAAACAGGTTGACCCCGGCAGTGACCGTGGCTCCAGATTCCACCAGCAGCTCCTCGATGACGCCCGCCACTGGGGCTTGCACAGGCATGTTCACCTACAGACAAAGTAGCTGGCTATTAAATTTATTTTTTGGACCTTTATTCTTAAAAGACAGTACATCCAGTTTCGTAAAACGTTCAAAAGAGCCAAAACCATCCCATCATATTTTTGGCTCTCAACAACCAGTCGCTTTGAATATCTTCAAAACACTTTGACCGCCTTATTTGCTAAGAAATTGATACCCAGACTAAGGCAGTAATTTGCGCTGTGTTTTAACTATCAGGTGGAATGGATAACTCTATTTTGTCCAAAACTGGATGTACTGTCTTTTAACATAAAACTCCTGTTTTATAGAGTTTCAAGCCATTGGCCCACATAACATTAATCATACAGATCTTATAACCATGAGAGACTTCTGTGAATACAGCATAAGTTATAAGTGACAGACAAATCAAAAATTTTAAAAAATGTTTTGTGTTGTTAAGTTTCCATAATAGAATAATATGGTGTACTTATAGCATGGAAGACACAAAATCTGATATCTGTCATTTAAAGCAAGGCACATGAACAGAAGTAGAACCTTCAAACAGTCCCCTCCAGTCACCCCCAAATTTGGAAATTGAAGTAAAACTTCAGCATTTCAAACAAAGAGATTTATCAATTCACAACAGACTGATATATTATTTATTTTTTTAGTCAAAAGTTCGAAAGTTCTCAATTATTAAGAGATATTTTAAAAAGTAGATAGAAAGATAGAGAGAGAGAGTTCTTCTTGTAGAGGTTTTACGGCGCTCACAACTGCATAAGGTCATATGAGCGCAAGAAGATTAGAGGTGTTACAAGAGAGTAACAAACATAAAAAAGAAGAAGGGGAGATAAGGGCGATAGATGTTTGATAGGAAAGAAGAAGCAAACCACACCAGAGCACCCGCCTACCACTCACAGAGAGAGAGAGAGAGAGAGAGAGAGAGAGAGAGAGAGAGAGAGAGAGAGACAGAGAGAAAGAGAGACAGAGAGAGAAAGAGAGAGACAGAGAGAGAAAGAGAGAGACAGAGAGAGAAAGAGACAGAGAAAGAGAAAGAGAGACAGAGAGACTGTGTTTGTGTTTGTATGTGTGCGTGTGCGCACATTTAATTTACCTTGTCTGTCTCGATCTGGCCCACTTCTTCATCAGCTTCCACTGCGTCCCCAACAGCTGAGGAGGGAAAAGTATCCACTTCTAGGTTTCATTTTCTCAACGCATCACATGACAGGCTGGCAGCTGTCCTGCGACATCCTCTGACTGTCAATGTTTTACACCTCTACCGACACTATTTACATCGTTTAAGACTCAGACAGGCTGCTGCTTCGATCTTGCCGGCCAAGGACAACATTTTGTGTGTGCGCGCGAGTGTATGTATGATACTGTCTGTGTGTCTGTGTGTGTGTGTGTGTGTGTGTGTGTGTGTGTGTGTGTGTGTGTGTGTGTGTGTGTGTGTGTGTGTGTGTGTGTGTGCATGATACTGTGTGTGTATGATACTGTGTGTGTGTGTATGTGTGTATATGTGTGTGTACATATATATTTTTTTGTTTTTTTTTTTTTTTTCTGTGTGTGTTTGT